GGTAATAAAGTCCGATAGTAATGGTATTTTAGAATTATTTAAAGTGAAATATCTCCTGAAATACTAACTTTTCGACAACATAGGTTAGTACTTCTTTATATTAAAATATACCTCATTCCATTTAAAAGAACAAAGTTGACCTTTATACGACCTTTACGCGTCTACTCACGAAAAAATTAATAACATCAGAATATGCTCCACTCGATACCATTCAAGCCTCCGCTGAAATATTTTTTGCTACGATTAACAATAGCGAGAAAATCAAGATTTTAAAATCGGGTGAGACACCCTGTATAAGTGTCCCTCCAAGAAGAATCAAAAGCCTTTCCCTATTTAATCCAAGGTTGACCGTATTTAGATCGCGATACAGGCGACCCCGTAATAAATCTATCGAACGCTGTGCCAGCTTCATTCGTAATCAATAGGCCGTTACGGCACCTATAATACGAACAACGACGATCCTCTGTCTTGAGATTCCCCGTGCAATTTCTCAGCCGGTGTTGAAAGAAGACTGTGACTGACGTAAAATCGATCAGCCCCGGGCTCCTGGAACGTATGCGGACACACGACGGCCTGTTTCGTTAACTACCGTGTTTCACTGACAAGATAATAAGACGAATACTCGAACAAAATGAGCTCGACCGAATTTAGGTTTGCATAACAAAACAGGGGAGAACGAATTTCGCCTCGACGCGACATGGCCCAGAATCAAAATTTAGCAACAGAGATAGTCAAAGACAAATTTCTTTTATCTTCCAAAAGCATTCAAAACATTTGTTTCATGAATTATTATTCTCTACGGACCTTTTCAGGCTCAGTCAAAAGAGGAATAAAATTTCACTTTTACAAAGATGTTGGGGACAGTGTTAATGAAAGACGACGTCGTCGAAAAGGATCCCCAAAATTGATAAGAATCTGTCCATTTACTTATTTCTATTTGAATAAAATTTACAAGTTTAAAACATTTTAATTCCTTCAGCTGGATAAGAGTATTAATTGCTAGATTTTGTTTCTGGACCACTGTGTTACAGTTCGAGGGGTCGAGTGAATAAGTAGATTAGTCGACAGGAACACCGAACGACGGGACGGGGTCAAGAGAACCAGTGAGTCACGATTCGAGCAATCGTACTCGGCTGAAACGTAACACACCGGGTTATACCGTCCACGCGAATTATCCCGGGGGATGCTAGCGCTCGCGCAAACTCCTTTATCGATTTTCCCATAAACCGCTTACACGAGGAGCAAAGTATGTATATCCCTCTTCTCTTTCTTCCGTTACTGTATTCCCTCGAACTAGAGGAAATCATCGCTCGAACCCCCCAGCAATGATCCTCGAGGATATAGGCCTGTTTTTCTACCGGTTGGTCCGTTATTAATGGTGCAACGAATAAAGAATCGATTCCTTGTGCAAAACATACGACTTAAATAATTAAAAATAGATCTTTCAATTTTCCAGAAACGAGACTTTAAATACATAGTTCTTTAGCATATAATATTTCTCAAGTTATATATTGGATCACCATGTATATTAATTAGAAGTAGATTTTTTACAAATGTCACGTGGATCCTTTTTCACAAGGGAATTATCTCCACGAAGATTGCAAGGTTCCTTCTATCCTTTGAGGAAACATAATTTAACGAAGAAGAGAATTCTTCGATCTATTGTTAAGGGACGCCAGAAAAAAAAAAAAACGTTTGTATGCTCGAGTAAATTTTAGGAGAACTTTAGAACCGGTCTGGAAAATATCGACTCGTCTATTACGAAATGCACAATCTGTTCCCCAGCCCCGACACTCTCCATCCCCTGTGTTTATCCAGCAAACAGCGTTCCCAACCATCGATTATCCTGGATTTGCGTGGAACCGATGTCCTTAAATCCGAGGAACTCGAACGGAATCGTGAAATCTTCGTAGTCCGTCGAGGCACGCGTGGCTGCACCTGTCTGTCCCTCGTAATCGTGTTCAGAAATGTCGAAATCACTCAACGATTTATACTTGTAAGCTCGATAGTTAATCCTTAAAAAAATTCTAAATATAGCGTTGAAGGATGTTAATGTACAATATTGCCATTTAAATCATTTTTCTACTCTCTGTGAGATTAGAAATCTCGAGATATTCGACTAAATATATTTTGCACCTCTAATTTTGAGGGTTGCTTTCACCACTTCCACATGGATGATGGTAGTTAAAAAAAATACCTGTTAAATATTGTATTTTCATGGTGGAACTACTTTCCAACGAAGTTGGTTCACTTCATTGTGTTCCTTTGTGAGTTGAAAGGAATTTCGAAGAACAAGTAGAATCAGACAGTCTCTAGTCAGACGGGCCGAATCACAAATCACGACAGTGTTTCTTGACGCGTAAAAACAGAAACAATTCTTTCTGAAAGGGACGAAGAAACAACAGTAGTAAAGTCTAGACCACTTTTCTTTCGTGTCGAGTCTTTAGAACGAATCTAGCTCGAACTTGGAACGCGTTATTGGGGATTGTAAATACCTTTGCCATGTCATCGTTCACCAGAGAAAAATGTTTTCATCCGTTCGAGGGAACTCGAGGCGTCGAAAACTTCACGAAATCACGGCTACTCGGAGGATTTCGAAAGCAAATAGTCCTCCCGCGAGGAAGGAAAAAATTCATGCAAAAGAATCCTCTTTCCCCGTTGCTGGCAGCGATCTTTTTTTTTTTTCATCTCACGGCGAAATGCATCGAGCACCGTGGAGGCCACCGACGCTTATAAAGTATTCCCGCGAGACGATTCGATCAGGGAATAGCGTCTGACGTAACGACGACGACGATCGACAACCGAATCGTTTCGGCGCTGCGCGCATCCACCAAAAACGATCGACGAACGAATCTTTTTCGGCGTTGCGTCCACACACAGTCGAACCAGCGACGATGAATTGCCTTCTCGGCGGTTTCTACCGATTGAATCAGTTGCTTGGCTCGTATTTCACGCCACAAAGGAAATGAGAAAGGATGCATCGAGGTTCCCATTGAATCAAGAAAAGAAAAAAAGAGATCGCTGACGTGGGGGAGGAGATCCGGTAGATTTTTTTTTTTTCTATTCGAAGGACAAGACGCTCGTGCAGGGAACGCCTTGAAAATATTTACGAGGACCGTAAACGTCTGGCATGAACGAGATCGAGGGGTTGATATTACCCGATTCGGGATAAACAAAGGTGTTTTCCACCGTTGAATCGTCGTGGAACGGATAAACGTTCGAGGACCTCTAGCGACACTGTTCAACATATCTTAAAATGGTGGAACTGAACCAGTTTTGGGTTAATTAAAAGTTCTTGAACACGATGTTGATTTTACATTTTCTTCTACATATTATAAAGTCTAGCTAGTTAGTGTTGTTTAGTTTGGTTCATTAATTTGAAACGCGTGTATTCGTTGTGGTAGCAAGTAGAAACAGAGAGCAATGAACAGACGCACTTACGAAGTCCTATTCGATAACTGCGCGCGTATCCAGTAAATATTCAACTTCGATTATCTCGAAAACGAAGCCTTAAATGAAAAAATGTTATTGTTCCTTTTCGACTTATATCTGCATGTAGAATCACCGTCCGGCCGATTTTACCACTATATTTACAATTAAACTACAAGAGATCCTCGCGTACATATAACAAAAAATGATATTACCATTGTATTAAGCGATTATAAATCAATTTGAAATATTCAAAATTTCGTTGAACAGTATTATCGTGACACCCTCGAAACGCTCGGAATAATATCGGCTTCGCGTGGCGTGTCGAAGGCTATAAGGAATTGATTTTCAAACCGCCCATCGAAGTGCATACAGGCTGTATTATACGTTCGATGTCTCAGCGGAATTCTGCATCTTGTTACGTTTCTATCGGCTGAATTATACAACGCGTCGATTCGACCGGGTGGAACGGACTGGAGGAGATGGAACTGTATTTATTCATGGGGACACGTCTCGTTTGAATACGTTTCCCCGCGTGGAAGAGAGCGAAGTAGCTTGGAAGTAGAGTAGAAACTTGGTAAAAGAGGTTGGTTTCGTTGGTAACATTGACGCGGCTAGGCTGCTAGTTACACAAAGTCTCACTAACAGCATAGAGTATGGGACCAGAGCTCGTGATTGACGGAACAGTAATTTAATACAGTAATGTCTCGATAAGTGCAACGAACCTCTGCTTAACTTCTGTTTACTCTGTTTCGATTGGGTTCCAAAAGAGGATCCCCCCAATGGTGGGAATAACATCGTTATTTGTGTCGCACTCATCGAGGGATCACTGTATTTCGTTACGATATAATAATAGTTACGGAATCTGTATATACAGAAATCATTTCCAACCAATTTTTCCACTAATTCATTTATTTAGTGTAAATAAACGAGCATAGACCCTTCGTACAAAAAAGTTGCAATGGGATAGAAATGAACAGTGAACTTTGTGCGATTGTATCACGGGAGTGAGATGAAATGAGGTCGCTATTCATCTCGACTATTGCTCCTGTGTAGTGAATAAATATCGCAGTAATGTTCTTAATGAACTAGCAGGGGTGATGATTAAATCTATTTGCGCCAGAAAATTGTTAATTAATTGCCCTAGAAATAGTGTTTAAGTGCCTAAATCTAGAAGTGAAGAGATGTTGTTAAAAAATGTAAAAAATTGTATCAAACCTTTGTAGAATAATATTTTCCTTCTTTAATCATCAGACCTAGTCCCAAGTAGTAGCCCTCGGTGTATGGTCAGACGTCGGTACACGGAATTAGCATGAACAACGTCTCGGGGGCCATTTTATAATTTACGACCAGGGGGAAGATCGATCGTGACGTTGGTTTAGCACGATCGAGACTTCGATCTTCTTTACCATGGCCTCTAGACGATGTTCAATGTCGTCGTGATAAAAAAAGAATCTTGTGTAATTTCTTACATTTCTCATGTGACTATTTATTTTTCCGTGTCCACGCCATTCGACCGTACATCGAACGCTCGACTCCAGAGGCGAGCATTTCCAACGTCGATTTCTCAGTGGGTTACGATTTTCTGTTCACAGCCGAGGCAGGGATCGCAGTCGCGGCGGAAATGAAACAGCCGGAAGACAGAACCGCCGAGGAGAAGATGGCGTTACTAGGGAAACCGAAGCTGGGCGAGGTGGCCAGGGCGCAGATCCGAATCAAAGAGTCGAAAGAATTCAAGAACACGGTGGATAAGCTCGTACAGAGGGCTAACGCGTCTATATTGCTCGGTGAGTCCATAGTTTCACGTATTTAGCCGTTCGAGGGACTCGCGGGACCACGATTAAGGGGGGACAACACTGTAATACCTCGAAAAGTCAAGGTATTTTTGGTAATTTATTATAACCCCTTGCCATACGATTTTTTTTACGACTTCTCTCTCAAGAATTACTTTATCGTGAATATTTTCCTAGATGCAAAAGGAATTCTATTCTTATAGCATGCGTTACATTTATTCCAAATCTTAAATATCAATACCAGCGGAACCGTATTTCATATCGATTCAAAGAAAATTAATAATATACATGTTCACTAATTCAGTTTGAAATCGTTATCTCGTGTCTGACTCGATGTGGTAAGGCAAGGGGCTAAAAGAAACTTATTGAATGAATCTGTTTCAGATTTGTAGGGGTTTTTATTCAACATATAAGCTTTGAAAAAATATTTTTCTTTGCGACATTTGTATAAATTTAGAGGAGTTAGAAGAAAAGTTAGGGCTGCAAAAACGTCTTCGCTGACTGGTTGACAATTTTTGAACGGTCCATCTGCAATCAAAAACGCAAAAAGTTTTAGAAACTAGATTGTCTTGGCTATGACATGACGTAGGATTTTTTTGATAGAACGTTTCTTTCTATTTTTTCTTTCGCAAAAGGGAGCAAATTTGGTTATTTCTCAACATTTTTAGAATATCCTACGTCTCCCACGCATTTCACTCTTCATGGAAAATCTTCTGTTCGGAACTTGGGATCCTTTCGAGAACTCTCCTTCTTCGCATCGTTTCCTGAAACATCATCTAACTTTTGACCTTTCGAGAACTGGAAACTTATTTTTAGGTTTCAAACTATTTCCATTTTAAAATATCATACATAAGGGTTTTTTTATTATTTATTATTATATTTGTCGAAGATCAACATTTATGGATCGTGAATATAATATCCCGTTATGTGTCGTACCTTGCTTCGAAATATATCACCCACGACGTCGTTACTGAATACAAGCAAGAATACAGTAAAAGGAAATCTTTTCACACGAAAATTCCTTCGTATTTATTGACCATTATTTTTACGTACGAACAGACTGCAGATTTTATGCATTTATAGCCTATAGGACTCTCTGAAATACAACAATAGACAAAAGTTTCGTCAGATGCTACGAGTTTTCCCTTTCATTCTCAACCCAACGAGATACTTAAGAGAAAAACGAAACTCCTACTATTATTCTCGTCTTCATGAATTATTTTCTAAAATGTCATTCTGCCTAAAAAAACCGCAGTCTACTCATGAAATTCGAAGTCTATTTTCATACCACAATTTCCTCTGCAAAATGACAGTATTTCTAATCCAAAACTAAAACAAAACATAAATTCTCTGATATTCATCATTGCATAAAGATCCTATTTTATTACTTCTAAACTTCAGATGGTTCACTTATCTTTCCTAGCATAACCCCATAACAAATACATAAAACTTCTAACAGGACAATGTAAAAAGTCATGAAAAAGACCTGCCGGTTCTCTATAACTTAAATACTTTCTATCCTCGCGATATTCTCGGACAGTCGAGAAATTTCAACTCGAGTCGTTCTCCACTTGCCGTAACAGACCACGAAGAACCCATTCGCTGGTCCCTTGATCTCCGACGTTTCACGATCTTCCCGCGAATCGCCGTCCCCTCGTCGTATTATCGGGCGACGCGACTTTAAATCCTCGTTATCGCGGTCCGTTCGTTCGGGCGTAAATTCGCCGGTGAATGGGGGCATTGATTAAAACGAGACACATTATGAAACCACTGACCCAGTCGGATGGTAGTCGCCGGAAAACCAAGGGGATGGTGGCGGAAACAAACGGAAATGCGCTCGATGAAAAACAATTAGACGACGAGGAGGAAAACGAGTCTGTCTGTCTCTTTGTGTTGGCGAACGTTTCCGCGAGTCTCGTGCAATTTCTTTCATTCGCGATATAGGGGATGGGGAACGATTTCAGAGAGAGTATTCTCTCTGTTTTAATGCAGAAGAACACCCCTTCCACCCCTCTGGGTCGCTTCCTTTCAGGTAAACTCTCGTTAACTCGAATTTCTTCGCGTCTGACTATTGTCCGCCTATTCTACTTGGAGGACTTTCGCACACGTTCGTTCATTTTCTCCTGCGTTTTATTGGTCGCGAGTGGTCCAGCTGCGGAGCACAATGCGTCTCGAGTGATGGAGGTGTTTGAAGACAGTAATCGAATTTTCGGTTCTCGGGATCCATTAACGGTAACTTCGATAGATAATGTCGAAGTGAAAAGCCATTGACGACCGTAAGACATATTACACGTTACATGGTTTATCCACCATTATTTCAAAAATATTGATTTTTTCTCAATTTATAGGTTGCTCGGAGGAAATAATAATTCGACTTCATCGAGTTAATATTTCGCATTACTATATTTAGAAATAATCTATTTATAATTGTTTCATTGAAACACATTGGGGTTAAAAGACCCCGGCCCCAAATCCGACCTGACTTCGATTTTTCAAAATGTCACTAATCTTACACCCCTTTTCTATTACTCTGATTCATTTTTTCCTCGAATCTCAACAATTCTACCTGAAAGTACAAACAGTATATTTCCAAAAACGCTTCTACTTCTTTTCAAGAATTCCATAATTAAATCGATATTGTTTTTTTAATCACTTGGGGGTCACTTGTCCCCCACATACACTCCCAAGATATTTGTTGGTACTGGCATTTCGATTCTCCCAAAAGCAACGTCGCCCGAGCTGATTGTGGTTCGGTCATTTATTCACTAACATTTTTCCCAATTCCATCAGCTATTGTACATCTCCGAGCACGCCTGCGCAAGGTCCATCGGTACCCACGAAAACACGTTGGTTTTTTCAATTTTTCTCACACAGACACCACTGTGCCGCGCAGCTTCGACTCCACGCAGACTTTGGTGCTGGCACGAGCGTCGTCGTTCAATTACGAGCTGGAGTAATCGAATTTGCGACATGTGTGTTGGTAGTGGCGTAACGAGCTGGTCGCCGGGATTCTTTCTCGACGCTCCAGCGAACGTCGATATTCAAAGATAAACCGGTTACTCTGCTTGTTCGAAAACGCTGGACGAACAGACAAAAAAAAAAACGTTCGTTCAAAAAAAAAAACAAGTTCGATAAAAAAGGGGGGGGGGGGATTTTCAGGTCCCAAAACTTTAACCAACTCGGACACTTAACGCCCCAAGAGAGGCTGTTAAAAAGAGGGGAAGGTGGTCCTCTCGAGACATCGACGACGAAGAAGGAAAATTTGAATTTAAATTTCTATTCAAATGAAGTTACCCCCGGTTTAAACGAAGCTTCATTCGAGTCTCATTTTATAATCCGACGCTGTTTTACGGCCCGGTTACATTCTCGTCGCCGTGTATGTTACCAACAGCCCCGAAAGTTATACACGATTATGTAAATATCGCGCAGAATATATTGGAGACGTGGAAAGAGCAGCCGGCGAATTCGTTGAAATACGTTGAAGATCCTCAACTCGCGAAAGCTTTCTGTTGCCCGGTAAGACTAGGTATTAGACCTTATTCTTCGAACACCCTGTATATTACAGACCACTTTTATCAGTCCCCAGTATCATAAGCGTTGTCCATCGAGGTTCAACATCCCCCAGACAATATTTATTTCAGACTTTTCCACAATTTCGTAATACCCTATAACACACCCAACACACTCGATTATTGTCCTAACAGTTACAAAACAGGGGTTCGGCTCCGAACACGGCCGTTTCGAAAATCGAACGCAATGACACGTCGAGTACCTGTGATCATGCCCGTGAGAACTCGGTCACGAGGATAAAACGATGTCGAAACCGGAGGAAGACAATTTCCAGTCACGAGATTGGACGGAAGAGAATCGTGCTCAATTAACGAAGACGTCCTCGAGGGTAGGAGCACGTCGATAAATCAATCTGGCCCGTCGAAACCTCTCGGAGCGCCGAAAGCTCTCTATCTTCTTATCGACTCTCCCCCGAAAGGATATCGATTCCTCCCAGGAAACACCAGAGTTTTCGGTTCATCCCCGCACGTTCATTCTCTGGGGATTCTTCGCGAGGCAACGCAGCCGCCTATCGCGATCCGTCGAGCTGAAAATTCACGGCTAAACGCGACGAAGATCGAGAAAGAAAGAGGGCAGAGGGTGGTTTATCAAAGCGGCGCGAAGAAGGCGTGTCTCTGCGCCGATCTTGGCTCACAAAAGAGACGGCGAAACGTGAAATGCAAAACGGCGGCGCGGTTCTCGAACAAAAGTAGCCCGCGAGGCCGTAATAGACCTCGACTTCTTACTGAACGAGGCCGATTTACGAGGGAGCTTCCACGAACTCTTTCGATCCTGTTGAATATTTCGCCGAGGAACTCAGAAACCGGGTTCTAACGGTGGCTCGAGTTCGCCACTCATCTAGGAGCTCGATATACAGGGTGATAAAAGAAAGAAGTTCAGAACGTTTGGAGTAGATAGTATTCGTCAAATGATGAGAAGAAAGTACTAAGAAAGGTGGGTCGAAAAATGAATATTTTCAAAGCTAGAAATCAGTTCTTGTTAAGGTTGTAAAGAAAATTGTAAAGGAAGTAACAGAAATTGTGAAAAACCTTCTCTGTAACCACGACAAAAGAAATGATAAGGTACGATTGCTCTTGAAGCGAAAAAGTCACTAATGGACAGTAGGCCCAATCGAGACAGAAAATTATTTATAACTTTGAAAATATCCATGTTTCGAACTATGTTTATTAGGACTTTTTTTCATCATTCGTCGAGTACGAACCCTTCTTTTCATTCTGTATAAAACGAATACCGATATACTTGCGCGCGAGAGGGTTAGTTCGAGAAGATACAGACTCCTCTCGATTATTGTCAGGACAGTAATCTTATAGGCAGACATGCTTCAGACCCTCGTAAATTCCTTTTTTGCATGAAACCCTAACCTCAGCAACGTAATACGCACTTGACAGTATCTAGACAATAATCGTGTAGAACAAGTCTGACAATAATCGAGAGGAGTCTGTATTTCAAAAGTTTGGCGAACTTATTAAGGTTACTATTAGCTTTCAAATAAAACAAACACATCGTCAAAGTTCGTTAAATCTTCCTTAAATCAAGTTCATTAAATATTTTGTATCCTAAGATTTAAACAATCGTATTCGCTATAAATACATAAAATCCGCAGTCTACTGATTACGATTTCTGCGTCGAGTTTGAAGGGACACGCACGTTCTCCGTCGCCGTTGAGATCGAGAAGTAAACAGAATCGAATAAGCAAACTTTGATACTAATGACGACGATTCACGATGCTGGTACACACACACACACACAACGGAGTCGGTGTAGCTAACAATAGAGACGGCGGAGCTTCTGCTTTAAATGTAAATCCTGGAGAATCTTGGTGGGCGTGTGCTCCATCGCGGGGAATCTGTTTCCTCGCCGTTTCCACGATGGATTCCGTGCTCGATCAAGCGTTCCTTGGTGATACGATCGAGAAGATTGTCGTTGCTTCGCGAGTGACGCGGGGATATCGGCCGAGAATGTCGAATGGCTTCACTTGTGGTCTTCGTCGAAGTATAAGTATCACCGTGGCTTACTTTGTTTACGATTTATGTCGAAAGAACACAATTGAAAATTCGATGAACCTCAGTCGTATTTAACACAAACCTTAACTAACATTAATATCCAACATAAATAATTTATATCCAATTAATTCCAATAGTTTACCTCCGAACGATTGGAGGAGGCTGTATAATTTTGCGATAAAGAAATAGAGCCGTGTTAATAATTTTCATTATTATAACGGAAAATCGATGTGGAATATACCTATCAATAAAGTCAACCATTTCATGCGCAACGACCTAGTAATTTCCCAGGACCCACATGTTCCAACGGAGCAATCTTCAGCTCCGTGACGGAAATATAACACAATAAATCCGCGTTATAATACCAGTTTCCGGAAACGTGCCTTCGGGGACGTCGAACGCGCGCCAGCTGAATTCGAGGGCGTTCGAAACTTATTCAGACGTTCCTCCGTGAACTTTTCTTCTCTCCAAGCGAGCAAATGGCCCTTTGTAGGACACAGGCGTGGACGATTTTTGCTCGAGCGAGCCGATCCACGGGGCAAAAGGGGAGTTTCCGCGCGAACAAGTTGCGCTTGTTTCCGTTCTCCAGCCTCGAGCCAGGTAATTTACAACTTTCGTAGAAACCCGTGAAATCTTTCGTTGCCTCGAATTATTTTTCTCGACGCGAGACGAAAATTCAGTTGAACGTGTGTCATAGTCAGATTTATTTCTCGTTGAACCTCCTCGACGTTGCAATTCCGGAAAGCCTCCGACGTTCGCCTTCTTTGTCCCAATTAAACGCAATCGCTAAATCATGGCGTGGACAAGATCGTATCGTTCTCCACGGCGCAAGAAACATTGGTTCACATACACGAGGAAACTCGACGACATTCTTTTCTTTGGACCACCATCGTGTTCCTACGTACACTCCCGTTCATAAGTCATTCGATCGTTTCGAGGGACCAGAAATGTAATTCTCAAAGCAAATTTACTAATTTGTTCCATTTTTCCGTAAGATAGTTAGATAGATCTTGAACACACCTTACCTTTCAGAATTATTTAACAGAAAATGCAAAATAATAATCAGTTGTAAATTTTCATAACATTATTCATAGTCATAATTTTGCCAGTGATCTATAAAAGGACTGGGAACGTGGAAAAAATTAAATAACCTTGATTACGGATTATTTTGAGTAAAATCGAGGGGCGGGGGGAGGGTACTTCAGAAAAATCACCGTTAAAGTGCCATGAAAGCCTGAATGATATAAATACTTCAATCAAACAAGATTGTTAACATTCTTCAACGTGGAAAATCGATAAGGATCTGTTTGTTTTATAAATTAAATATCTTTTTAACTCTTAATTTTTTTTTCTTCCGCATTTACTAGCATAAGTGCCCCGTGACTTATGGATGGGAGTGTACTCGTCCCCGACGTTTAATCCCCTCGTGAGGTATCTCTTCTTACCAACATGTTCCCTCCACCTTAATTCGCGGGGCAATTTCCTCGGTGATGCTGGATGGATTAGAGGACCCAGATGAAGGGTGGACGGTTTGGCTCCGATCGCAAGAAAGCACGATAGGCGTGTGAAACTTTTCTGACGTGGGAACTATTAAAGTTTTAAAGCCCCTTCGTTAATTTGTTCCCCAGGCCTGGAGTTGTATACTTTTGAGGAGGGAGATTCTCCCCGCTAATAGGCGGTTCAGGGGTGCTCGAAACACGTGTTCGAGAGTGGTCGTCAGCGGCCTCGTTTGAGTCCTCGAGAAGAGAGTAGCTCTTGTAGGGTGAACAGAGTCGAGGGTGTTTCTTGAGAGACTAGAGTCGACGAAGGCTTCTAGTAACCTTGTTGACGGTGATTTTTAATAAAATGTATAATATGCTAAGTCGAGTCGAAGATGGATTGCCTATCGCTTATTCAGACTTCGAGGATTTAGCCAGGTGAATTTTCACTGGTACGACGATTGTTCACGAGGCAATAGGGAGTTATTAATATCGTTATGAGGCGATTGTAGTAATTGACAGTATAAACTTAATACGTGGATTCGAAGATTTTTGGTAATCCCGAGGAAGACGAGGACTGGGTTCAATATATGTGAGGAGAAGAAAACTTTGCGTACGAAGCATTTGCATTCTGGTCGCGCTCGATAATCCGTCGCGGTGTCGGGCTGATTTATTACCTCGAACACAAGAAGCTTTCGCCAGCGGACGGTAGCTCTGAGATCTTTCACCGCAGCAACAAAAAAAGCTTCGAAGGTTCATTGGCCACCCTCGAACTTGCGTTTTTTGCTCTCGATTCGACACGACCTTCTGCTAGACGGAAGTTTCGTGCTGGTCATTGCGGTTCCCTGGATTAGTAAGTTGTAGCATATTGCGCCTGAAATTGTCTCTATAGAGATCGTCGATCGATATGCAATCATATCCGCGAGTAGTGCCATCGATCTCTTGTATTTCTTAGCTAGGTTAGGGTCTTCTTGTACATCATGTTTATTATTAGTAATATAATTTAGAAATAATTTTTATTGAAAGTATATTCATAAACATACATTAATTTCACGCGAAATAGCCATCTTTGATATTTTGGGGCCAGAAGTACATCGTTTAAACAACAGATACTTTTTTAAATCATTCGAGAACGTGGCAGTATACTCAGTTAAGCAAAGAATGCAGTAACTTGATGGTAATTACTAGAATAATTACAGTGTAATGGTTCCGATATTGTCATTCGAATACAGTCGTCTAGTATCTTTTATGAAAATGAGTAGTAAGATTTTGTAAAATACTATTTCTAATAATACCAGTATTACTTTCGTATCACTAGTTATTACTTTAACATCACCAGTTGTTGCCTTAGTATCACTCGTTGATGAAAAAAAGATGCTCAAACTAGTGATGAAGAAGTTGGTGCTCAAACTAGTGATGAAACAAGTGGGTGCTCAAACTAGCGATGAAAGAAGTTGGTGCTCAAACTAGTGATGAAAGAACTTGGTGCTCAAACTAGTGATAAAAGAACTTGTTGCTCAAACTAGTGATGAAAGAACTTGTTGCTCAAACTAGTGATGAAAGAACTTGTTGCTCCAACTAGCGACGAAAGAACTTGGTGCTCAAACTAGTGATGAAAGAACTTGTTGCTCAAACTAGTGATGAAAGAACTTGGTGCTCAAACTAGCGATGAAACAAGTGGGTGCTCGAACTATTGATAAAAGAACTTTGTGCTCAAACTAATGATTAAACAAATGGGTGCTCAAACTAGTGATAAAAGAACTTGTTGCTCAAACTAGTGATAAAAGAACTTGTTGCTCAAACTAGTGATGAAAGAACTTGTTGCGCCAACTAGCGACGAAAGAACTTGGTGCTCAAACTAGCGATGAAAGAAGTTGGTGCTCAAACTAGCGATGAAAGAACTTGGTGCTCAAACTAGTGATGAAAGAACTTGTTGCTCAAACTATTGATAAAAGAACTTTGTGCTCAAACTAATGATTAAACAAATGGGTGCTCGAACTAGTGATAAAAGAACTTGTTGCTCAAACTAGTGATAAAAGAACTTGTTGCTCAAACTAGTGATAAAAGAACTTGGTGCTCAAACTAGCGATGAAAGAAGTTGGTGCTCAAACTAGCGATGAAAGAACTTGGTGCTCAAACTAGTGATGAAAGAACTTGTTGCTCAAACTAATGATTAAACAAATGGGTGCTCAAACTAGCGATGAAAGAAGTTGGTGCTCAAACTAGTGATTAAACAAGTGGGTGCTCAAACTAGCGATGAAAAAAGTTGGTGCTCAAATTAGTGATGAAAAAAGTGGGCGCTCAAACTAGCGATGAGAAAAATCGTCGCTAGTTTGAGCGCCCATTTTTTCATCGCAAGTTTGAGCCACCTGTTTTCATCAACTAGTAATACTAATGTAACAACTAGTGATGCTGAAGTAATATCTAGTGATTACATTGAAATTATTGAACGTCGATTTTGGTTGTCACGTGACATTTTCTATGTATATGTATAAGGAAGTAGTCCTCAACGGAAGACAGAGTCTTCGTCCGACCGTCGAAGGCGACACAGCATTTGTACCACTTATTCTTTATTAAATATTCAATCTAAATATTACCACACCGTGAATCCATTATAAGTCATCCTGAATACCATACCAACAATCCCTTACACAACTATCTCGAAATTGTTTCGACGAGGTTAGACACGGCGTAAAATCCCAGGATGACTGGCTCAAGGTTCAATTTTACCAGGGAATCCCGGGATACGATGTATCTCCGTGTATTACATCGACGGAAGTGTATAAACGTAACGTCGATGTTTCAGGCACCAGCTCCTGGAAGGAACAGTTCACGGAGGCGTTGACCGTGAGCGGCGGCGACGACGACGACGGGGAAGGCGCCGGTCAGCCATCGGCCCCATCCACCATGGACTATCTCATGCACTCCGTCACGATGTTCTGGAAGGTGTTGTTCGCCTTTGTTCCCCCAACGGGTAAGTCGCGATATTCGACCTCCATCCACCCATCCTGAACAGAAAATAGACTCTTTCTGTGTGTGCATCTGGAACGTGCAGAGTTATGTTTGTCAACGATCGCAGGATTGCCTCCATTTATCGAGGCGAGAGCACCCGTGAAATATTTTGCCATCGTCGTGACCGATCCACCAGTCCATTCGTATGGACTTTTCGAAGGGAACCTCCTATATAAACCCGCGGAAAATAGATAGACGTATCGCGGAAAGATCTCTTAATCCTGACGTTGTAATACTGTTCTCGATAGACAGGACCATTATTGATCTGATTGACTCTAATCCGTTCGATTCGATTAAAAATTCTGACGTTTAATACCTTGAGAACCGTTTCGGTCTAAAAGCTGATGTTTAACACGTTGACTGCCAAGTACGAGATAACTCATATTTGAAACATTGCAAAGAGGCTGGAATTATTTAAATACCATTACAATACTTTTTTGTAAAATTAATATCATAGTATAATTTAAACAAGACAACCTGCCTCTATTGACTAAACGCATACATTTTCGATTATTTATGACTTAAAAAACGAAATAAAGTGTGTCTGGATACAAACGACCTTTTTCACTGTGGCAGTCAACGTGTTAACACAAATATTAACTTTTCCCCATCTTTCTTACTTCCTTACTCCGTCCGTAGTATAGTGGACTCGCGATAATTACCCGTATTGTAGCCATAGAGACTAGTAAACGGGCAATTATCGAGAACAAGTATCACTTACTCCACGCAGCACTTTACTTTGTTAATAGAGGTTGTATACTTACTAAAATATAAATATAATTCTATGTTCCGCATGGTTTAAAGAACTCTGTACCACCTTTTTCCAATTTCCCGCGATACATCCTTCACCCTCGACTCAGCAACGAAGTTTAAGGGCTCGCGGACTATTAACCGTACTTCCGTCCCGTCCCTCGTGTTACATTTCCCAGAATGAAATACCGTCGCTCGTGAAAGAACTCGTTCGCCGAAATAACCGTTCTGAGGAACAGGTTCTCGCGATCTTTCATTGTCTCGATGGCAGGGAGAATCTTGCCCACGGTGTTCCCGTAGTTGGCGGACGGATTACTGGTGGGTAAGCACCGCGAGAACAGGCATTCCTCGCGCGGAAAAGACCCTCCCGCGGGTTTTACTGCGGACAGGTAGCGCCAGTTACCTAACGGGGACGTGTAGAGAACCGAGAATGTTCAAACGCCCTGAGGGGGGAAAAAAAAGGACTTTTATCGCAAGAGGAAGGCTGTCTTTCTTTCTCTCCTACGGGGATAAAATGGAAATCGAGACTTCCCTGTTTGTCCTTTAAATTCCCTAGCGTACCGGAAGAACCCACCGGGCGTTCACTCCTCCGCCCTTAATTCTCGATTCTCAGCGAATTTCAGCTACATTTACAAAGTCCACATTTTCCTCGTTCTGGCGAAAGTGCATAATTTCACGCCGTTTTTTTCTTTTTGTAACTGTATGAACAGATATGCTCGGTCAGAGGAAGGGATGAGGATGTTTCGGCGTAGGATTTCTTAGGATGTTTATGGGATTGTGATGTATAGAAGGATTGAGTTTGCTCGGACAAAATGGTTGTTTATCCGTCGGACTAGGAGCGCCGGTCGTCAATTCGTTCCCGAATCGAAACTCATTGCCTTGAAGATTTGGAGTTATTTCGAGGAACGAATTCTGGTAGACTGATTGGACGTCCTTTGAGGATGACTTCCGAGGGAACTGAGTTATGCACTCTTTCTGTGTATACTTGCGGGGTTAGTCGCGTGAAACAGAACACCTGAATATCTCTGCTGGGATCGATATAGGAGACTACTTATGTCGGTGACAAAAATTGTACAGTAAATCATCGATGAGTGTTCGACGGCTCCTCGACACTGGGTGTTCAGATGTGATCCTCGAGGGACTAGAAGAGACCAACCCAATGGTGGGGATGACTTCTGAACAGTCAGAATTATTGCCGAGGAGCCTTCGTACACTCATCGATGATTTACTGTATTTGTGTTGGGATCGAAGATAGGAGACAATGTCCAAGACAAAAGTTGTATTGTTCAAGAGGATACAGGTAATGGTACAAACAGACTTTTTGTTCTATGTTATTTTCAAGGTTATTCAAAGGTCATCGATGTTTTTTTTAAATGGCATCATGTAGTTTTGACCTGATAACGTTGTAACTGATTTCTAGATTGATTTTATGCATTCATAGCATTTTCGATTGTTCAAAATTTATTGTAGTAAAATAATTAATAAATTTTATCGTGATTTTTCGTTGGCACGCGACCAGCCGATTCGTGGAACCTGTTAAACGTCCCGTGGAAGGAAAATTAATCGAATTCTCGCGAGAGTGACATTCACAAGAGCAACGGGACAGACGGAAAAATGAGGCTAATTATCCGCTCGCGTTCCTGTTTACGATCGAGGAAAGAACACCGCTTGATAACCGTACAATGAATCTCTTCTCTCTCTTTCTCACGTTCCTCGAACCGATAAAATATTCCCCTAGTCGTTCCCGATGAAATGGTATTTCGCTGCATGCACGGCGAAAATGCGCGCGCCACGAATCGAGAGGACTGTGAGTAATTAATACGGAAACACGATTCTATCTGTCGAAACGGGGAAAACAAAAACAGGATTGAACGCGGGGTTTCCCCTGTAGAGAACAATTTTTCATCGGTGGTTTTTAATGAATTTATCAGGTAAGCTTTGTCTCCTTTCTCGTGACGTGACAAAACGATTCCGAAGGCTTTTCGAATTGCCACATCCGGTCACGTGCAAACATTTTGGAACAAATAAATTTTTCACTTTGTTTCCCAAAAGCGATACACAGGGTGTCCCACACGATTTTGACAAAAATGTTTCAGCGGGCGGTTTGAATGGTATCGAGTGGAGCATATTCTGATGTTATTAGTTTTTTCGTGAGTAAACGCGTAAAGGTCATATAAAGGTCAACTTTGTTTCCCGATATTCCCCAAGGAATACGACAGGTAACGATAAAATTTCAACGGTGTACAATCGAGTCGAGATCGAAGAATCCTCCAGTCGAATTCTAGTGGGCCGGGTAAAGTGGTTTTTCCTGTGGCGCGGATTATGCAGGGTCGAGGGGAGAGGGAAGTGGGTTGGTGTATGGGTGAGTTTCGATCGAGGCTCGATCGCGGCGCGGGTCAGACAGCCACTCGATAAAAGCTCGGAGCGGGAGTGAAGTGTGTTCCTGACACGCCCTCGAGGTAATAATTTCCGTGCGTTCACGGACCCACGCGAACTTTGCCGAACTTCCGGTCCAATTTACCATCCGGTACCCCGTCACTTCCGGTTGGTCCGGTTTGACCCTATGGTATCTTATTCGTGGCGAAACACTGGGTCCATATTTTAGGAATATCTTCGATTTATTTAGGGATTTCATCTTCGATCTGTTAGGAATATCCTTTTCGATTAATTTAGGAATATCATCTTCGATCTGTTAGGAATATGTTGGAAAATTTTTAGGGTCATGTCACGTGCCACCGATTTGTATTTCTATCCAAACACGCACATTGTCTCCATATTCAACTCAGTCAATTGAACTTTCATTGTTTTAATTCATAACACAGGGATCAGAATTTCCAGTTTCAATAGGACGTGCAGAATAAAATAACAGAACAAGGATTAAATATTTAATACTTATTAATCCTATAACGTCGAGCGTGACGCTTTTTTAACATAAAAAAAAAAGTAAACCTGACCCTTCCAGATATGTTTTAGAATTTATATATTCACAAATATGAAAATAAAGACGAAAAAGCTTTTCTTTCCTCAAAATGATAATTCAAGCGTTACAGGATTAATTGATTTCACAAAGAAACCCATAATGTTCTGTGCTTACTTCTCCGAACACGATTCGAGTGGCCCCAGCTTAATTCGAATACAGACATCAAAGCTCGTGAAACAAAGACTCTAAATCAATTGGTGGCTGTAGAAGGTAGAGTTACAAATCCCTAAGGAGTTCAGATCCCGCCCGGTTGGATAATATCGTCGAGCTCTGGGGCCTCGTATGGATCCTCCGTTGCACGACGGTGTTCACTCGACGCTAGTTAGAAGCTACTTACGCCGGTGATAAAGCCCCTCGCATAATTTTTCAGAAACGCCCAGTATCTACTTCACGGTACACTTGATCCTCGAGACTACTTTATAAGTACCTTGGACAAGATAAAGGACAAGAACAGTTTTAATCGATTTTTCACTGAAATTTGTCTTCCCCTTTTCGGATGACGTGGATGAACAGGTAATATTATTTAGCAGAGGCAAGTATTATTTCTTCATCGGTTAACGTTCCCTCTCTTCCCATAGTTACTTCTCCCGTGTACCTCTATCGCCACGGTGATTGATAGCCGCAACGTGATCTATCACGTTAATCACGAGACACGGTACGCTGTATCATTTTTTCCCACGAGTCATCGCTCGCGTGGAGGGGGCACAATATCGGGCGACCTTGTCGGGTGTCTTCATTCTCCCTTGATTTATTGTCTCAATCAAAGCCTCGCCCCTTTCTCATACCAGTGACGTATCAGTCTATTAATTCTTCTCGTGGATGAGACATAGAAGACTTCCTGGTTCTGTATCCTTTGAAAAGGACGAATGGAATATCTCCATGACTCTACCATACTCAGTACAGTACTGTCCAAAAGTTTGGAAGCAGTTGGGTACAATCTTAAAAAGTCAAGCTACATTAATTTCTTAAAGTATTCTCTTTTTAAATTTTTACATTCAATTTTCAAATACTCTCAGACTTGTATGGGATACACGCAGAAAAGCAGAATATGACAAAATAAACAAATTTTTTAGAAATCTGATTTGAAAAACGAATTTCAATCAAATATGAAATAGACTATTTTATACAGGTGGTTACTTTCAATAAAGGAAAATTTGTTTAACTAAATAATACTTTAACATAAAAACTGCTTCGAAACTTTTGAACGATAATGTACACACTGAAAATATTCA